AATGTATGGTGGAATCCGGCCTTAAGTAATTTTTATCTCTTACTATCTGTGAAATGTAGGTCTCTGATTTTCTACTGGACAGGTTTTTGTTTCTGTAACCTTAAAAGAAAACTCTCTGTGTCAAATTCCTGGGCCTGTAACAGACTTTACTCCTCCATTGTTAGAGGAGAGGTATTGGCTGTGTATTTACTGTACAGCCCAGCAGCAAATGTATGTCCAAGCCTTAGGTTTTCAAGACTCCCTATGCTTTGTACTGTATATTCTCAGTTCAAGGATGTGGGAGTTAAGTTACTCATCCATTGCAGCCAGCTTGTTTTTGTTGCAGATGAGCAATACCTTTCTTTTTCCCCTTTTTTTTCTTTGTCTTTTCCTAATAGTATTTATATTGCTGTGTTGAGCCTTTACTGAAATAATCTCTTCAGATTAATCCTGAAACTCACATTTTTCCTCCTGAAACCCCATCTGTATTGCCTGTTTGATTTTTCAACATTTCTAGGTATGACTTCAGACACTTCCAGTCTGGCTGAAGAAACTGCAGAACGGAATCTTGCAGTTCTTCAGGAGAAAGTAACTCTGCTATGAGGAATGCCCACAGGTTTCACAATATCTGTAGAGTTCTCATCTGAAGGGTGGGATATATTTACAGAAGGAAGGCCTCACTTGTAATTTTGTTTCTTGTGAAGATATGACTGAGTCATATTTACCTGCCTACTTTGAAATTGAGAGATAAGATAAAGAACAAAATTAGGTTAATTTATTCTACTGCAATATCTTTGTAGTAATGTTGCAACTTCACATGTTAAAGTGTTTTTCCTTCTCCTTTCTTCTCCTGCCTGGAATACCAGAGAATGCTTCTTCATACACTGATTTCTGTGTTTCCCATGTGCAAGTTGTCTGTACTGACATGTGAAAGAGAGGCAGTTACTAGAAACCTGGTTTGGAAAAAGGGTATTTTCCAAAGCTGTAGAAGCTATTCATTACCTCTGAATTTAGAAAGTGAGTCTTTACTCTGCAAGAGAAGGAATCTGGGTGCTGAGGAGCAGAATTACTGAAAGGGTTGAATTGTAGCCATCTGAGAGACCATCGAGGTTCAAAGTACTTTGAAACTAATTTACAAATTGGGGTGATAATTGCCATGTTATTGTAAGCCAAAGCTTACAATAAGCTTTGTAAGCCAAAGCTCTTAGCATCAGGAACTGCTAGAAAAAGACCCAAAAGTTTGTGTGGATGAAATCCTAAAGTGTAATCATTACCCAGTTATTGTACTTCTTAATTAAAAGTCCTTCTGAGGTTTGTGTGTTTTATTAGAACATGCAAATCATAATTCTTTTACTGATTCTATTTGTTTAAAACAGTTTGGAATTTAATTAGGTGAACACAGTACTACAACATGGAGTCATATATTGAAAGTGCAGTATTAAGAAAACATTAAATGTCTGCACTGTCTTGGGAAAGACAAAATTACCTTCTGACCAAAATTAACTTCTTTCTTCACTATTTTGGTTCTCCATAAATTATTCATAACAGTGAAAAACAGATTTGGATCATGTATTTCTGGCATACGTTACTCAGTTTGGATTTATTAAGTACTTTTGTGAAAATGTGAAGACTGCAGCCAGACTTCATAGTTTCATGAATCCCACAGAAAACTTCACAAAACCTGATCTGAAACACTTTGCTGAATATTCCAAATTCTTCACATTTAAACAAATTCTTAGAAAAAGTTGATTTTCCATTTTTTACTTTGTTATAAAATAAACTTCAGACACAACTATTTATGGGTAGAACTAAAATGTTACTTATCTCCCTTTTTCTGCAGTTTGTCTCTGATTTGATTTTCAAGGCACTGTATTGTAAGTATTGGTCAGCAGTGACTTACTGTCTTCACTCTTTTTTGTATTCTCTATTGCCATTAGAGCTGCTATACAGAAAGTAACATCAGATTCTCTGTAGCCTCTTGGCACAATTTTTTTATCTGGAAGTGATACTAATATTATGTGTACTTATCCTTTATGTGTTTCCTGCTTAATTCTGTTAAACTGTGATGGCTGGATCTTGATCTGGATGCCTGTGTAACACTATTATAAAATTGAATTAGTACTTCTGTAGTTTCATTTGTGCTTTTCTTTAATATATATATATATAAAGAGTTGAACAAAGGAAACAGCAGATTTGGGACTTACATTCTGTGAGAACATAAGCACAAATAAGCTGAAAAATTAAAAGTCTGTCTTGTTGCCTTCCATATTTGTTTGTCAGAATGCTAAAAGTTTGTCTGACAGTAAATGTTTCTTCTTCTTGTGGCTTTATTTGTATCTATTTCTGCTAATACACCTGTAAATACTTTCTGCTGTGGGTAGGGAGGGAATCCTCCCCAAAACTTTTTGTGTTGGTCTAGAAAAATTGGTAGTTTTAAGTCTGAGTTTGCTAATGCTACATATTCTTAGTTATGCGAAGCTGCTTGTGTTTAGAAAATTCGCAGTTCCAAAGGATATGAAATAAGTAAAAAATGTATATATACTTGCAGCTGTAAATTAAACAGCTGCAAAAGAAACCTTGTGAAACCTCATTTAGTTTTGAACAACTTGATTCAGTGTCTGTAACTTAATGTATGTAACTAACTCCTTAGAAATTTTTATTTCAAGGCACAATACACAGTTCTTTTCTGTTGGAAACAAGAGGCTGAATTTCCCTGTTAGTCATATGGACCCCAGTCGTGTAAGGGCAACAGAACAAAGAACAATGGCTACCTTCCAGTATTCTAAATCCTTATGCTGCTAAGATGTGAATTGATTTTTTTGGTGAGGCTGGGTAGAAATGTAAGAGTTGGCAGAACTGGGGGCTAGAGGGGGTTTAAAAGCCTTTTAAATGTAATAGAACTGATACTGAATCAACATAGAGTGCTCAGCTTGCAAAAGAACATGTTCCTGAAATGGCAACTCTGAGGTGAATCAAATGTGCTTGCCTTTATCATTAAGGTTGTACAGCTTCCTTTGCTTTAATATATTTCTGACATGTGCTGATTTTTTAAACATGATCTTAATGTTGCATTCACACCAAACTGTTGGTAATGTTCTGGGCCTTGCAAGCTTTTTCATTCCTGTTTGGTTTAAGGTGCTGCTATGCTTGTGTCCTGGTAGGATGGGCCTCCAGTAACCAGGCTGCCATTGATAACAGGAACACTGTGAGGATACAGCTGTTTAATGGTAGCAAACCAGTGTGTGGTGCAATCATGCATCTCCTGTTTCTTTTGTTGTTGTTTTTTAAGAGTTGATGTGAGTTTAAATATGTGCAAGAAGGACTTGCTGCTTAGGACGTGACTGAATTCTCTTGTTACAAGTGCCATTGCTATGCAATGAACAGAACTCAGCACTCAGCCCCAAAGTCAGGGTGAGGGAATGTTTGTGTTTGTGCGTGTGACTCTTCACTGAAAACGTAACCAGTCTGAAATGGTGGAAACGCCTCAAGGAACTGCTGAGTTAAATAACAGAAGTCCCTTTATTTGTGACCATTTTTCATATGCTGGCTTTACAATACCTGCAACAACTAGCAGTGGAATATAATAGATGACTTGTGGTGATGTCAGCTCTACACAACATCCAGTGCTTTACATGCTTCAAGCACCTGCATGCAGAGCTAGATTGACAGTACCTCTATCTACAAACCTTTGCAAGTGCATCTGTGATAAAGCTAGGTATGAAAGATGGCCATATCTTTACAGCTTAAAGACTTCAACACCTGATTACAATCTCATTTAAGTTTGTAATTATTTGGAATGAATGAGTAATAAATCTCATGGGTGAGTCTTTCCCAAAGCGTGTGTGAGTTCATCTCAGCAAGGCTGAGAAATATCCTTAAAATATTTTTGTTTTCATTACTGTGGGATTTTTTTATTTAGTGGACAAATCTAGATTTCAAAGGATCTTCATGTTTAATTCTTGCTATTTAAGCCAGTAAATTTGCAGTGACCAGACAAAATCAAGCATTCATTTCTTAGACCTATTTTACAAGTGACGATCCCAAAGAAGGAATGTTGTCCTAGTAACTGTGAAACTTGTAATTACATTATTGCATGCAGAGAAAACCTTGTGCCAAAATACTGTTTCATTTTTTCCTCTGTTGGAAACTGAAGTGTTACACAAAGCTACTAGTAAGTTATTCACAAGTATTGAAATGTTTTGTTCACAAATGAAGCACTTATTCAGTCCTGTAAATTATACATATTTTGGAATAAAGTTAACTTCAATCATTTTTTGCCTTCTGTTTTAATGACCATGACGTCTGCCTGCAGAGGCCTGGGTGGGGGATCCAGTGCCTATTGGCAAGTGCCACCCATTGCTCCTGAACATCTTAGTTTTAGTTTACAGAATCTCTACCAACTGGAAAGCTTTCAAAACGCATCTTACAATGTCTGTTCGTGATCTCTGGAGGTGCAAAAAGGTTCTCTGTCTCAAACCTTTCATCAGCTCAAAATGTAATCTTTACCTTGTACATGCAGTGCATGAACCTCTGCAGTTTCAGCTCTGTGGCAGATGTCTCACCTCTACAACACTCTCAGGACAGGGCTCCTTTGCCTTCTTCCTCGACTTACCATCCACCCCTCCTGTAGGGTGGTTTAAGATCCCGAGTGTTGTAACATCCAGCAGAAATTCACCTGCAGTATCATGATTCTATTCTAATGCCTTATTATTTTGTTGTGTATTTTATTTAACTGAGAAAATATTTTTGTTACTGTAAATATTGAAAAAAACCCCAAAGCCTAGAGAAGCTTGGTTTGGGTATGTCTCATACTCTATCCTTTTTCTTCCTGTGCAGCTCCCATGCTTAGTGACGATCCCACCATTTTCTGTTAGTTGGAGGATATAAAATGCTGATTTTTCTTGTTACCTGTAAGTCTTGCATGTGTGATTCAGAGGAGGTGAATGAGCAGAAGCCGCGTGACTGAAAGTTCTTGTGCACTGTTCCCTCAGCTGTAATCATGAATGAAGCATTCTCTGATGGACAGCAGGAGGCTGCTGTGTTCAGCCCCATCACAGTCTGAGGTAAGCATTTGCAAGCAGCAGCATTCAGGTGTTTCCAGAGGGGAAAGAGGTATTTACAGAGGGGAAGATGTCAAATATCTAGAAACTAAATTCCTGTTCAGAGTGTTTAAAATCATGCAACAGTCAGATGTATAAGATCCCAGGAATAACAGCCTTATTCCCATCATAGGGATATTTCTGCTTTAGATTAGGCTGTTGAGGCTTTTCATCATTCAGAATGGATTTGACTTATAGGCAGAAGTCAGATATTTTGACAGACTGCACATCTGAAAACTTTCACAAATGGAAGACAGTCCAAAAGGCAGGAAAAACTAACTCTTGATTGAGAACAGACTAAGAAAGTGTCTGTTCAGAGATAGGGGAGCCCCATGTATTTTTAAACTACTTCCTTGCCTGCTGTTGCTCAGAATTTTGCTGGCAGTGAAATTGTTCCTGACTGGTATGAGTTTAGTTTCTGAATTTCCTTCACTTGAAGAAATTCCATGCTGGCAAGCTGATTGTTTTCCATCAGAACAATGCAGTTAGAGGCTGATTTTCTTTCTTGCTCCAGGATTTGACAGTGAAATCAGTCCTTTGGATGTTTGGACCTAAAACAATAGGAGAAAAATGTTGATTTAACTTTCAGGTGTTCCATCATTGCATTTTCACATTGTTGTCAACAATTCACTTGTTTTGTTTTGGCACCTTGAATAGAGGAAGCACTTCTGGCTGATCCAGCCTGTAACTTTATTTCCTTTCCTTGAACAGGAATGGTGTTGTTCTTAACACAAAAACAAGAAGCTGCTGTTTCCTCTGCTGGAAGAACCCACTGTGTTCAAAGGCACATAACTTGATAAAGTTTATGATGGCTGAAGTGTTGTGTATTTGTTTCTTTAATGTCCAGGTCTTTAATCAACAGCTTTTGTGGCCTTCTCCTGCAGGTCTTGTAGAATAATCCGTGAGTGTAGTCTGTGTTCTTGTATCAGGCTGTAGTAAAACCTTTGTCTAATCTGATTTGACAGTTTCAAAAAACACAGCAAAACTCTTACCTGGTATAAAACACTGGAAAATGTGGAAATAATGTTTGTTTTTCCTGCAACTTTTTTTTTTTTTAATATAATCCTAAAAAACTGATTGTCTGCAATTTAAACTAAATGGCTGCAACTTAAAATTATTATAACAGCTTTGGCTTTACTTTTAATTGATAATGCACTCATTTTTCAGCTTTCTCACTGAACCAGCATTATTTTCAGTTGTCTGAATGGAAGAAATTATCTCCTTCTGGACTTTGAAAAATGTTTCTAGTTTCACAGCTAGATATAGGTGTGCATATATATATGCATTGCATTTTCTATTTAGTAGAAAATGCAACTGAAACAAGTATATATGAATTTCTTTATCTTGGGGCTGTTTGTGAAATATGCTTGTTTTGTAGAGTTTGTATTTTGTATCTAAATATGGAAAACAGATTGGAAAATATTTTACTATACAAATACTACTTTCCAGCAAAAAGGTGTACAAAGAAGGGAAGAAAATGGTCTATTTTCTTCTAACTGTGAAAAAAAATGAAGTATGCCACAAGCTTATTTTTGGTTCTATAAAGTCATGAACTAGTGCTACAGAGACCATTTGCAGTTGATAGAAAGCCCTGTGGTTATTTTACACCATGATATGAAGAATGAGTCACAATGACTCTTACTAGAAAATGGGATTTGGGAACATCCCTAAGTGCATTTTTTCAGATACTGACATGAAGAGTTGTGTTAAAAGTTCTAGGACTGAAAGAGTCCCAAACCTGCTTGCTGTGACTTAATCCTTGTTAAGAAAATTCAGTCCTTCTAAAAAGTGTATAATTATTTATATAAGAAAAATAAATGCTCTTTATCATTTTCTCCAGAAATGTGATGTTCATGTTAGGGTATTTTTTCTTTTTTACTGTCTTAACTGGGCGCTTTTTTTCTCTCCAAAAGTCTTTAGCCACTCGAAAGTCAGCAGACAGTTAATGCTTAATTAATAAAATTGTGTGTGAGCATCATCATACTCTAAGGCAGATTCACAAGGTCAGGAACATAGGTAAACTCTTAAAATTCTATTTTCTTATTAATGCCATGTCTTCATTTGGGTCCAAATACTTTAAAAAAAAAAAAGGCAACAACAAAACAAAACCAAAACCCTAAAAACCAATACCCAAGCACAAAACACTCTTTCCAAGTGTCACGTCTTGTTTAGCAGAACTTTCAGCCTGCTGGAATTCACTCACTGATTTGACATCAAAAATTCTTGATATAACTCTATGAATCAAAGAATTTTCACCTTAATAGATAAAGACTGTATAACCTGGTTGGTAAAGATAGTATTTGACACAGAAATCAATACCATTGTTCTTTTATATACCTCAAGCACACTATCTGATTCTAATCTGGCAATTCTTGAGATGTGACTAAGATGTTTTCTTGGGGAAATAAATAAAGTCTGAGTTAATCATCAGTGTGGGAAGGTATTTTTAAAGTAGAAGCATGCAGAACAACTGTATCACGCCAGGCTTACAGACTGCCAGCGTAAATACCATTGTCACATTCATGTAGTCACAAAAGATTATTAAATTCGGGGGTGATATTCTCATGTAACACCTACATAGTCCATCAGCTTCAGAGGAGCTGCACGAATGAGAGTAGAAGTTGACCTTTACAGTTCATGTACTGAGTCACAGCTTCATCTCCAAAGCTGCTGTAACCGTAATGCACTTCGCCTTTACATCCATTTTATCTGCCTGCTAAATATAAACCTGTTCTGGAAAGTTAAAGTGGACATGTGACAGGGGCCACTTTGGATAAGCCCCAGCACTCAGACACTCTGCCCTATTAATGGTTCCATCGAGGTTCTGCCTAATGCTCCCCAGCGCCGGTGTTTGCTTTCTCCTCGATTACCTGGACTCCACACAATCAATAAATGCAGCAGAAGAAAGCTCCCCGTTCACTTTCTGCTGCAGTTCTGTCTCTTTCTTTGGAAATCTTTTAACAAAACGGGACCAAACATCTCTGTTCATTTAGCTGGAAATTCTCAGGCATCAGATGGATTTTAAATGCACTTTGGCATGGCAGAAATGTCAGGGGCACTCAGCTCACACAGCAAACAAGAGGCTGTCTTTAAAAATTTTGACATCATCTGGAAGATGCAGAGACAGGTCAACAAAATGTTATTAGGACAATGTTAATTAGGACAAACCTTTATCCTGTGACAATGCTATTTAAATCTGCAGAGGGAGAGGAATCTGGAGGAATGAAAATAATGCCTGAGCACCATTTCCTAAGGCTGTCAACATTAATTGCAATGTAAGACTTTCTGTTCTTGCCCTATAATAGAGCAAACCTGCAGAGCTCTAGAATTTACAGGATGCCGTCTCCATTAGTGCTGGCACCTTCAAAATTATCTTGTCACAATAATACTACTTTCCAGCAAAAAGATAATAGATATTTTTCTTTAAAGGGGGTAGCTAGGGCAGTACTAATGATTTCTGTATCAGCTTGGTTTTGACAGTATTATTTAGAAAAGAGTTTTGAAAAACGTCCTTACCATAGTGCTATAAAAGCAGAGATAGATTAGGCTTTGAAACTTCAGTTTTCAAAATTTTGTGGACTAAATTAAGATCTAGAGGAGGTGGTGGATGGCTGCCTACTACTGCATGCATTAAACCACAGTTTCTGTGTGTGGTAGTGCTTACGTGCACTAAGGATTTCAGCATTTGCTGTGTACAAATATTTATAGTAGGCAAACCCAAAATTTCTTTTTAAATTTCCTTTTACAAACAGTGCCTGATGCTTCCCATCTTTAACTCAAACCACAGTTTCCACATCACAGAAGGATGCAAAGAGCTTCAGGCTATTTGAGGGAATGTCTGCGTGTGTATTTGTTAAATTTCAGTGCTCAAGATTTCATTTACTGCATCTGTCTTAAAATTCATCAGAGGGGGCAGACCAGCCTGGTAGTAAGGACACCCTCAGAAGTGAAAGGCGTGGGTGAGAGTCCCCACAGCACACTTGGCAAGTGAGCAAGAGTAAAAAGAAAGCAGCAGCATCCTCAGATTCAGTGAGGCTTGCTGGGAATGTTTGGACTGGGAGAAGAAAGTGAGAAATACCATAGTGAGAATTCTGGTGGTGTTTACACAGTGACAGTACTTGAGACAAGGCTGAAGTGCCCCTGCATCTCGTGCTGCCTTGACCTGGCTAGTTCAAAGTTTATTGTGTTGGCTCGGGGTTTTTTCCCTTTATTTTCACTGTGATTTCTCAGGTTTTATGCTTTTTTTGCTTACTACTTTGGAGGAATCTGTATTTTCAACTCAGTTACATGAACTACCTCACCTGCAGTCACCGGAGAAGGGAGTTGGGGTTTTTGGTTTCATGAAATACCATGGTTGTGGGAGGAAAGAGGAAACTTGAGAAAGCCAAAAAGCAATAGTATTACACAAGTTTATGATAAGAAGTTGGGCAACTAACATTACCAGAAGCGGGGAAGTGCAACTTTACAGAGGCACCCTAGTTGTGTAAAGTACAGCAGAAGCTAAATTACTCCAAAGTTGTGTTCCCAGGCATACCACAAAAACATCCAGACCTGACTGAATGGGTAATTTGGTTTAAACCCATTTAGCTTATTAGTGTTGATAGTTTCACAGTGGTTTAAAAATTTAAAGACTTTGCATATTGATGTAAAAAATAAAGTTCTCTACTTGATTTTAAGTGAAATGAACATCAGTAAAACCAAGTGTTAGTTCATTAGAAAATGTTCATTCTGAGAGAGAGAAATTATGGAAAAATTAATTCAAAAGGATGTAGCCTTAAAACCTGTTTGAAGAATTATTTGAGTCTGTCCTTGTCCGCATTTCAACATGAGTAGACAAAAACCAGACATGAGTTCATGTTCTTTTACTGAAATACTCATTTCTGTGAGGGAGACAGGAAAGAGACCTCAAAAAAAAAAAAAAATCCTTCCCATGATATGCGTTAATGGACAAGTGAGACAATATAAAGATTCTGGGCTAATGAATTCAGATGTACTTATTTATGTTGTTACTATTTGATTTTTCAAGACCTGTAATCAGGCTGCAAATGTGAGAGAGTTGCACAATGAAATATAATGGTGTCAAATTTAATACCGATGGGCATAACTTTCTCTACTTATGAATCATCTGTCATTAAAAAGATTTGGAAGCCAGCAGTAATAATCTAGGAATTATTTTCATACTTACTAGTAAAGGAACTAAAGCTGATTGTTCTAATATGAGACAGTGGGTAACTTTTCCTGTGTTCTGGTGGCTTTTTTTTTTTTTTTTTTTTTTTTTTTTTTTTTTTTTTTTTTTTTTTTTTTCCTCTTAGTCCTTATCAGGTTTACTTGTCCTATTCTTAATCTTATCAGCCGCATTTCCACTGTCAAAGGAACACCAAGTGCTGCAGATAAAATGCTAGAGGTGTAAAAAGCTCCTGCTCAGAAGCTAAATCAGAATCACATGTCAACACAGTTCAGGCTCAGGCTCTGGCAGGATGGTAGGATCATTGTTTTTAATGCCATTTACTAATTAAAAATGAGTCCCAGATTACGGAAAGTCTGGAATGAAGCGGCTTACTAAAGTGGTGGTTTAGCTCCTTGGACCAGCTACATCAGAGAACTGTCATTATAATGTAATTTATTTGAATATTGCTCAGCAATTTCCAGATGCTCTTCTGACAAGAGGCGGCGGTTTATGTTTCACAAAGTCATCCCCCCCTGTTTCGGCCGGAGCTCCTTTTACACCGACGAAGACGCGCGGCAGGTGTATTTTATTCGGCAGATGTACTGTAAACGCATTACAGCAGATCAACTGGATTTCTTCCTTTAAATGTACACTGTAAGATCCAACTTGCGAGCCAGCTGTTTCTTATCGGCCCGTGTAATCTTCCCAAGCCCGGCTTTGCCTCTTCCTCTCGCAGCTATTTCTGTAACGGGATCGGACGAGCCGAGAGCACCGCTATGAATTTTAATGCTTCCACTAGGGAATCCCTGCCGCCTCCTCTTTTTGGATGAGATCCTCGAGGAAAGACCCAGAACAGAGCGAGGAGAGGAGGAGGAGGAGGAGGAGGAGAGAGGGACGGCGTAGCCGCGGTACCGAGGAGAGCGGGAAGGGGGAGCCGCGGGTGTAGCTGGGCACCGCGGCGAGGCCGACACCGAGGCGGGCGCTGGGGCGGGTGGGAGCCATGGGGAAGGAAGGATGGCTCGGGGCGTGTGTCGCTGCCTGACCGCGGCGCGTCACCAGCGGCGGCAGCCAGAGCGCCGCGGTCCCGCCGCCGCCCCCGCACACATGAACCCACCGGCATCCCCCGGGGCCGGCCGCGACCTGGACAGCGCCGACGGCATCCCGCTGGGTCCGGGCGAGAGACACAGCCCGCGGGCCGGGCGCTAAAGCCGCCTTGCCATCAAGAGGAGGGGCCCCGGGTGCCGCGCCAGCCGCCGGCACCGCCGCCGCTCCCACCGGCACCCCATGGATAAGGCGGGTTCGCTGCACAGCTCGGTGCCCGGGCCGCCACCCCGGCTATACCTGCCGCGTAACTTCAGCTGCAGCGCCTGCCTCTATGGCAGCCTGGCCGAGCAATGCAGGGCGGGCTGCAGCCCCGACGGCGACGCCGCGCCCACGCCCGTGGTGCGGGAAGCGGCGGGCGAGAAGCCGCCGCCGAGCCGCGGCCGGGAGCCCACGCTGCCCGCGGTACCCCCCAGCCCCACGCAGCGCCGCCGCGCCAAGTCGCTGCCCACGCCCGGCGACCGCAGCCTGCGCCCCGCGCTGCAGCAGAGCCCGTCTCGCCGCAAGACCGTGCGGTTCGCCGACTCCCTGGGGCTGGAGCTCACCTCCGTGCACCTCTTCTGCGAGGCCGACCTGCCGCGGGTGCCGCTGCCCGCGCCGCCGACGCCGCGTCCCGCCGACCTCCTCAAGACCAGGAAGCCGCCGGCGCTGGGCGACCTGGAGCCGGTGCTGTTCGGGCCGCCGCCGCCGCTGCTGGAGCCGCTGTTCCCGCCGCAGCCCGGCGCCAGCCCCGGCTTCGCGGAGCGGGTGCGGCAGCACAAGGTGAGGCTGGAGTGGGTGCGGGCAGAGCCGGCGGGGCTGCGCGGGGCCGTGCGCGTCCTCAACCTCGCCTACGAGAAGGTCGTGTCGGTGCGCTACACGCTCAATGGCTGGGCCAGCTGCGCCGAGGCTGCCGCCACGTACCAGCCGCCCGCGCCGGCCGACGGCATCACCGACCGCTTCGCCTTCATGCTGCCCCTGGGCGCCGCCGCCGAGACCACACTGGAGTTCGCCGTCCGCTACCGCGTGGCCGGAGCCGAGTACTGGGACAACAACGAGGGCAAGAACTACCGGCTGCGGGGCCGGCAGCGCGTCCCGCCCGTCGCAGGGCCCCCGCAGGACCCCGACAGCTCTGCCTGGATCCACTTCATCTGACACGGGGGAGCGCGGAGCCCGCGCAGGGCCGGGGGACCCCTCCCGCGGGGCTCGGCGCGCTCCCCTCGGCGCCTGCCCCGCCAGCCGCCCGGAGGAGTTTCCCCGAGTTCTGTTTACAGAGGGGTAAATCTGTGCTTTCCGTGTCACCACCGGCGCCGGGGGGAACCCTGGCTCGCCTCCCGGGCGCTCACGGGGTGTGGGCAGGGAGGCCGGGCGCGGGTTCCCCCTCAGTGTCCCGGGCACTGTGGCTTCCACCAAAGCAGCGAGCGGCTGCCGGCCGGGCTCCGCTGACAGGGGCCGGGAATGTGCGGGATTTGCTGGTCAGGACCGGGATCCGCAGGTGAGTGCACATCCTCCCGGCCCCGGAGGTCAGGCTGAGCTGCTGTCACCTCAGCAGGTTCCACGGAAGGCACTGCCGCAGGGCATCCCTCCCTCCTATTTGCCTAATCGTGCTCAAACCGAGCCCGGCTCCGGCTCGGGCTGGACCGGCCCTCAGCGCCTCGCTGACCGCCCGTGTTCATTGTCCCGCGGGGTCAGGGGCCTGACGGTGCAGGCTGAGGCACAGATTCGTTTTTTTTTCCAAAAGACAAAAGTATGGATGCCCCAAGGCGTAGCTGTGTTTTTTTATGCAGTGAAAGTATCAGATTTAAAGCAAAGATTTATTTCTTTTTTTNACTTTTGAACCCTGTTTCAGGTTTTTAATCATAGTTAGAAAGCAGAAAGATAGCATCACATCCTATTTGAAACACAACTCACTGAGAGATTTTAAAAAGAAAGTGTTTTGGTTTAGAATTCGTGTGGTACGTTGATGGAAAAGTTTGTTAGGATCTGGTGTTCGTTTCAGTAGGATTGGTCCCACAGAGCTGCTTGTGTTCAGGTCAGCAGGCAAGTCGTGGAATTGCACCAAAAAAACGAGAGACGACACGAGCTGAATCCGTAATTCCAGTCTGCATCATGAGCAACACCTTCATTTTTATTCCTTTTGACAGTTTAATTAAACAGCATCAGTGCAGGAGCCTACTTTCTGAATTTCCTGCTCCAAATTCTTCATAATAATTTCAGTAAGTGAGGGATTTTACAAAACTGGTGAGGTTTAATCAGAGAAATCAAAGAAAGTTCTACCTTGCCATATAAAATTATATCAATCAAAATTACACAGCATCCTGATTGCTGCCTTCAAATAGATGTTTTAAATTATATTGGCACTAAACAAAGCCTTTTCCTTTTAAAACGTGCTTTTTCAGGAGTTCAGCTGAATACAGGTTGTGCTGGTGCCAAATCTGGGTGCTGATTTGCCAGCATTGAGGCATGCATGTATTGCCTGGAGTGGGGCCTCTGCAAATATAACTAATGACAGTGGTAAAACCATGTCAGTGGGATTTTCTGGTTGTGAAGGGCTGTAAGATCAGGCCTTTAGGTTTTGAATTTTCTGTAGGTTGTTTTGGGATTAAATGCAATTTTTTAAACTGCATTTTTGTGTTTCTTGGAAGGGTTAAGTGTCCCAGGCAGCTTGAGTGATGTCTGGAGTAATGAGTTCTTGAAGAACCTTTTGACTCTGGTGAGAATTGAGAGCAGTTTTGTCTCCTGAGGGTCTGATTTAGTCATAATAATTAAACTTATAAATTCTGGGGGGAAAAGAGTTTTGGAAACTCAATGGGAAAAGAAGATTTAATTTTATTTCTCTAGATTACTGGTTCTGATTTAATGGAAGTAACAGCAAGGCTACTTCCTGTAGTATTGGTAGCTTGGTTTTAATTTCCCAGTCAGTGTCCTAATCCCTGTGCTTTTAATGAAACTAAACTTAACAGAAATACACTGTCACTATCTATTGAGTATTTCACATTTTAGTATATTAAGGTCCCCATCTTGTAATACAGTAATCTTGTAACTTACTAGAACACATTTATAAAGCTAGAATTGCACAGCTAGGGTCTTAAAATGTTCATGATTAAAACATATTAAGTGGTGTATTTGATAAAGCAAGCCCAAGTGTCTTTTAGTTGAACTTTACTTTTTATAAGAGCCTTAATACTGGAGAGAAGGAAAAGGACTTGTCTCCATTTGAAAGCACTTTGAAATCTGATAGAAATATAGCAAACCATCATTTATTTATGTGTTGTAGCTTTCCAAATTTTGGCCTTTTTAACTGACAGAGTGAACCAACAGCAGCTATGTGGACTAATGAAAATGCTTGGAGAAAAAAGTAGTTTCTATGTATTTTAGATCAACCAATGCTGCAACTTTGCTTATGAAGTTTTAACAGGATTTTCTCTTTATTGTTTCAATGGCTTTAAAAAACACAGAGAGCGCTAAAAACCATTCTTAACACTGAGCAATTCTAGAACTCCAAAATTATTTTCCAGTGATTGGTAGTTTTCATTGTTGTTTGATTTATGTAGTTTTCATTGTAATTTGATTTATGCAGCATATGCAGGTCTGCAAAAATCTCTAAAAGTCTCTAAAAAAGTTTTAAAATCTTCTTCTAGCACCTGTGGCTTAAACACTTTTGATTTGGATTACCTAAGTGGATGTACCTGCCTCAAGTGCACAAGGAGGTTGTTGTATTTCACTTTATTTTTGATCATGATTTAGGTGAACTTATTGTTGGTTTTGGTTGGAATTTTGCAGGCAGAATTGGGCTACAGCTTTATAACACTGTTCAGATATTATTGTTCTTTTATTTATGGCCACCTTTGCCAAACACAAATCTAAATATTCAACCTTTTGAAGCATACCAGGAGAGGGTTTTGCAAAACAGTCTCTTGAGCTTTCAAGCAGTTAACCTAAATTTTGTGAGTAAGTTTGTGGGCTTGATCAGAGATTATTGGTGAGACACGTGCAAGTCCAGGAGAAAACTTGGTCTTGTAGAAGGTTTAGAGGCAGTTCCAATGTAATGCCTGGAAAGGGAAGGCTGCACCCAGCCAACTTGGACCACAGAATGCCATTGGTGAAGTCTGTGGAAGGAGACTGAGGTGTTTTCATAGAAATTATCAGTAGCATATGCCAAAACCACACTACTTCAATTACACATTTGCACATCTGTCGCATGAATTTATTTCTGAGAAAGGTTTATTCACATTTCCAAATATGTGTTCAGTTCAGTGGCTGGGAGTATTTTTCCACTGGCAGCATTCTTGTAGTTTTCAATCCATTAGATTTCAATCTGAGCCCATCTATCCCATCAAATAATTGCTAGAAGCACTGTGATAAGTGGAGATGAAACAGAAATGTCAAATTATATTTATTTAATACATAAACAATGACTTTGAGGAGAAAAACCTGTATTGAAGGGGGTAATTTTCAAGTTGGCAGGACACCAAATTTTTTATTGGGAGTTTGAGCAAAGTATCATTTCAAAACTGTATTTCTAAAGAATACTGTTCAAGAAAAAATGTTCACAAACAAAGTTAAATATTTGAAAATTCTCAAGCCAATCTGTTTCTGGAAAAAATTATTTTATATGCATGAATGGGGTCCATGCCCCCTCCCTTTCCAAGTAATACCAGGATGGTTTAAGCAAGGCAATAATCCTTAGGTTGTGCACTTCACTTCTAAGTGAATTATTCATTGCTTACGTCTCTGCAGGTGTAAAATTGTGTCTGTCACTTATGGTGCAAAGTTGTAGTTTTATGAAATGTGCCATGTTGTTTTATGGGCATATAATGCTCATTTATCCATATAATGCTCATTTATCCATATAATGCTCATTTATCCAGCAAGTTGAGTTGTACTGTATGTCTGATAGACATGGATGTTTGCTGCTTCACACTGCAACTGGTAGGGTTTTTGCATGTGACTCTATGCCTTCTGTGGCAATTATTTTGGAGATTTACCTTAATTATTAGAAATCCCAAAACCAATGAGAACTATTAAAGTGACCCAGCTAGCTAAACATATTATTTATTAACATAAATTCAGTAACTGAAGGTGGTGTACTTACTTTAACTAAACGTACATAATTTCAGGTAAATTAATTTTTTCTCCTTTTACCACTTGCAAGTAACTTTTTGATGTGAATGTGTGTGCCTCAGTATCTCAGTAAACAAGAGTAAGTGCACACTCAGTTGTTTCAGCAGATGTGAGGGGCAAATATATCACTTGAATGAACAAATGTCTGTTCATGCTTGAGCATCATCCCTTTACAGATATGTGAAATGTTTTTCCATAATGCCAACAGGCAAGAAGCTGCTAATTTTAATGTAAAGTAACCTGCAGAATACTCAGAATCTGATTTTTTGAACATATCATATATTCAAATTTTTATGTGCCTTTCAGCATTTCCTAGAAATAAAGCTCATGTGTTCCTGAGCTCTCCCACCACAAATCCAATAATGAACTTGTCATTAAAATGAAATTTTTACAAAAACACAATAATTCTTATTCCTGACACATTTTTAGCTGTGCCAGAAATTGTGTATCTATAGCAGCCAGAAGGATTTGATAATATTTTCCCATATTACAGTGAAAGAAATGTCGGTCAGAAATATGTCTTCCTGGTACACCTCTACATTTATGTAAAAAAGAAACCAATTGTGACTACAGTTAATATAACAGAGTATGTTGGTTGTATATATTCTCTTCTTGCACAAATATTCTAAATATATACTCTATCTGAAGCCAGAAGTTCTAGTTTTCTATGAAATCTGTCCATGGAGGCCTGGCCTTTTCAACTTTTACTCATTGGATGCTGTTTAATGCATATTGTTAATTTTTTGTGATGGGTTTAATCTGTCTGCAGGGTTTATATCATTAAACAAAAGTGCTCAGGAATGCCTGAAGTAAATTACTTTTACCTTCCAGCTATTCTGCATGGCTTTTTGGCAAATCCTCAGTAATTCTGTTTCCTGTACGTACTCCACATGCACATGCTTGGAGTAAATTGAAGGATTACTAATGGAATGGAAATATTCTTGAGCACTGAAATTAAGGATTTTTCAACACAAATAGTTCAAGGCAAGAAGTAAATATAGTCAATATTGCTGGAAAACAAAGATCACTGGCCTCATGTAGAGCTGATCAGTGTTTTGTTTAAAATGGAAGACAGTGGTGTATTTCAAAATTAAACATGTTCAGGGAAACACACCTGTTTCAGTGAAGGTTTTCTCAGGTTCAGCTGATAGAAGAAAATTACCCTAAAGTAAAGAAGTGATAAAGGTATTTCTTTACGTCTGTGTATGGGCTTGAACGTAGGTCTTCCATGAGCAAAGTGGATACTGAGCTATAAAACCAATGGCTATTCCTTGGAGGTTTCCTTTATCCAAGTTACAAATACTGTTTTAATACCCTCACAGAAAGGATTTTTGACCCTGGGTTTCCCCATCTTGTATGAATATCCTCTTC